CTATCTATCTATCTATCTATCTATCTATCTATCTATCTATCTATCTATCTATCTACAGATTAAGCCATTTGTCCTTTCTTGGTTACTGTAAAGCTCTGAGCATTGTTATGTTGTTGTTATCGATCCCAGCTACAGCTCTGGAACAATGTTCTATAAATAGGAAATGAAATGTTTGCCCACATGTTACATTCCATGGATTAAAAACAATATGCCTCCATTCATTTTTTGGTACTCCAGTTCCTCTACTTCACCCCCCCCCCTCTTACACACACACAACCCGGTCAATTGACGCTGCGCGCGCCAGTTCCATTTATTAGTTTATATATTTACCTTCTGTGAAGTAATGTGAAAGAAAACCCGATACTACCCATCTATTGAACGTTGTTAGTGAAATAAAGGGAAAAGACTTTCAGATTGTTTGGATGTATTACATTTTACACGGCTAGCCATTTTTTTTTGGGTGTTGAATTATGATTTTTTTTTTTTTTGTAAGCGTTTTACGGCGCTCGCAACGGTATGCGGTCATATTAGCGTGCGGTACACATTAAACATTTTCAGTTTGGTAGGAATAAATTTTGAATTTTACCCGGGTGGCGGGCAAAACCTTCTATTATCTATTCTGGATCTCACAGGGATCTTTAACGTGCACAATTTGCATTCAGAAGCTCCATGATTTTTCGCCATTATCCGAGAAGGCTAGGTGTTAGATCTTACGTACCATAATATCAGGAGTGTGGCTGAAAGACAGCAGTAAGAAAGAGCCAAGGAGTAATAGTAGACAGGCTAAAGAAAGAGTTAGGAGCCCGAAGTAGGGGGCAAAGGAGGTGAGGGGACGGGGCCGGAAAGTGGAGATGGAAGCACAAGACAGAACATTGTTAGAGAACAAGAAAGTAGGTGAAGGGAGACAGTTTTAGAGGGAAAAAAAATTCCGTCGCTGTCGCCATTTGTTTGAGTGCTGGTTTAGTTGAGCGTAAGTTCTCTCAGAGAAAGACATTAAATTCGAAGGTTCAGTCTTTTGAATAACTGCACCGCGTTGAAAAAGACAGAAAACCTATACAATAAACCATGACCGATTGAGCTTAGCCTCTGTACGTTTGTGTGTGTGTGTGTGTGTGTGTGTGTGTGTGTGTGTGTGTGTGTGTGTGTGTGTGTGTGTGTGTGTGTGTGTAGAATATTGGAGGTTTGATGCATTTTTGTGATTTTCAACTCAGTTTAAGATTTGAGATGAATTGGAGACTGCATTTTAACTTCCCTTTCTATTTTGAAATTAGGGCGGGCTGGGGTGTTGCACTCGAATATTATTGGAAGCCGCACCTCCTAAATAAATTTGCTGTATTTGGGAGTGGAGTTTATTCCTTACCATCCCAGATAAATACAGTCGAGTCTGCTCTAATAGTCACCCATCCAAGACAGTCACCAGTACAAACGACCACTTGTGGTTTCCCCTTCCTTTTTTTGTGTTCTTTCTTTTTTATAACATTGTCCGAGAAGTCTACCTGCGTTAGACAGCCACGTATTTTCACGACAACCGGTGGCCGTCTTGGACAATTTAGACTGTATGGTCAAAACATGAGCTCTCACCGTTTCATATTCCTCCTCACTCTTGAGATGGTGGTATATGAACTTGACAGACTCGATGGTCTTATGAAGCTCCGGTGTCATCTCCAGCTGCTGTGAAGAGTCCACGCTGTCCCTTTGGAAGGCCGTCTTACTGTCCACGTCGCTGTCCTGTAGCTGACCGCTGCTCTCGCTCGCCTCGCGTTGTCTTTGTAAGAGCGGTGTCCCTGGGTCGTCAACTTTGTTGTCGCTTCGATGCATCTCAGTGAGTTCCACAAGATTGCTGCTCACGTTCAGATTGGTGTTTAACCTTCTCACATCGGGCGTAGAGATTCGTGAATGTGAAGGCGTACTTGGTATCTCTCTCCACCGCTCCTCATGGTCAGGACGCTTCATGAGCAGGTACTTTGGTAGCTCCTTTAAGAAGAGCACCCGCATCCAATAGGGCATTCTGTGTGTCCTAGGAGTCCGGTAGTTTCTGTTGATGACAACGACCGTACACAGGATGGCGATGAGGTTCATGATGAATGTGAAGAGTAGGTACTTGGCGATGAGCGGGACGGTGAGCGACGGCGGCAAAATTTTGGAGACCAGCAACAAGAACACAACCAAGGCTAGGAGGACGGAGATGCAGAGTGTGATCTTCTCGCCGGCGTCCGCGGGCAGCGCGAACACACACACGCTCACAAAGGAGATAAGGACACATGGAATGATTAAGTTGACCGTGTAAAACAATGTTTTTCTTCTTAAGACAAAGTAGAATATGATCTGTTCTCTCTTATCCCCGGTCACATCGTCCGTGACTGTGACAATCTCTCCTGGACATTCGATAATGTCCCAACTGCCACTCTTGAGATAATCTCCAAGGTCCAGTTTGTCTCGATTTTTGTCAAAAGTATACTTGAGGGAAAGACCTTTGTGTGTCCACGAGCCGAATTTCATCTCGCATCTCTGTTGGTCAAAAGGGAAGTACTGGACATCAATTAGACAAGAGCTTTGGTAGATCGCTGGAGGGATCCAGTGTACCTCCGATGTATGGTACAGCACGCAGTTCGACTTGTATGTCACCTCGTAATTACCGTCGGCACTGTGTGCAATGGAATAAAAAAAGAAATATAATAAGGAACAATCAGCAAACTAATGTATTCTCAAGCTGTTGCATGTCATGTGTACAGTGATGTCAAATACGTCCAGCTGAAAGCGGGTAAATTAATTACTAAAAAAGGAAAAGGGTGCACTGTGTCGGGAAAACATCAGCAAAGTTCTCTCTGAAGAAAAATCCACAAGACGTATTCACAAAGGCCAGAGTTATAATGATTCAAAGCCTTTTGGTTACCAATTGTATTGTATTAAAACTACTGATAAAAAATCTTATAGCTCATTATTTTGGTGGGCTCAGAGGAGGAAAGATTTCAAAATGTTTGATAGCCAAAAACTGATGGCATCATGTGCTGCGTTATTTCATACACATTTAAAGACTATTTGTTATACTATCAGACACTGAGAGGGAGGAGAAGGTTTAATACAAATGGCACTTTTTCTCAACCCTGACAACACCATAATTTGTCGAACCTAAATGGTACTGGCATTTGGTTCGCAATGATAAGAAGACAGTAGGTAAATGAGGCAGAGCAATAACATTGTTTGTGTCTCTCTATGAAAGCAATTTAGAACACATTATGTGAGTGGTTGGCGGGTGCTCTGGTGTGGTTTGCTCCTTCTTTCCTATCAAACATCTATTGTCCTTATCTCCCCTCCTTCTTTTTCATGTTTGTTACTCCTTTGTAACACTTCTAATCTGCTGGCGCTCATATGACCTTATGCAGTTGCAAGCGCCGTAAAACATCTACTAAAAAAACAAAGAAAACATTCTTATATCAAATATTATTGGCCGTAGATCTGATAGTTGTTTGATGCCCATTGCACATTATACGTTCTTTAAACTGTGAGAGTCGTACTACTACTACTACTACTACTACTACTACTACTACTACTACTACTACTACTACTACTACTACTACTACTACTACTACTACTACTACTACTACTACTACTACTACTACTACTACTACTACTACTACTACTACTACTACTACTACTACTACTACTACTACTACTATTACAATGTACTACTACAGTCTACTACTATAAATAATACAATTATAATTGTTAATATCGTTATTATTAGTAGTAATATTACTATTATCATTATCTTGGTCGTCATTTTTTAAATTATTATTATTTTTATTGTTATTATTATTTTTATTATTATTATTATTATTATTATTATTATTATCATTATTATATATTTTTTATATTATTATTATTAAAAATAATATATTAATTAGCTATAAAGATAACATCACTTACTTATTGAAAAGCACGAAATCTGGAACCCAGACCTTCTCAGGTTTGATTCGAATAGAGTCGATGTTGCCATACAGAGTTGGGTCCCACTTGAGTTGGTAGTCGAACCAGTACTGCGTGAAGGTAAGAGGAGACAAGTTACTTGAAATGTTGGAAATAACTAGCATTAATCAAAATCCTTATCCGGGGATGGAGTAAATTACTTCTTAAAGAAAGTCATTCACTTTCGTTCTTTTTATTCGCAATATCACTGATGGTATCTATCAAATCGTTAGACATCCTCTCCTGCATACTTCAAGATTCTGGTCCTAAAGAAGACAGATTTTTACAAAGAATGGTCTCGCCTCTGCAATGAGATTAGTACGCCAAAAAGTGTTGTATCTCCATACCTCGCTAAAAAAAAGAGTATATATTATTCAGTTTTGGAAACATACCACAAATCACTCGTTTCCTTGTTTTGAAAAGCCTTCGTAACAATGATAATTGTTTCGAGGTTTAGGTAAGAATTGCTTATCGAGGAATCACTGATAATAATAATAATAATAGATAGCATTTGTATAGCTCAAAGTCCCACTCAACATCAAGCTCTATGCACTTCACAATCTATACTATTACCCCAGCAGACCTGAGAGCATTCTGAAACAACCTCAACTTCCTGGGAAGCATACAGTGCAAGCGGCCATTTATAGACGCTAAAACACTAACAATCTGACAAGATCTTTGATAGGCTAATTGTGCGTACTCTCGAAGTTTGTTGTGTTTGTTGGGAGTCTTTATTTCAGTATAATTAGTAGGTCACTTGATAAATGTATCATTCTAAAAGATGAACACTGTACGTAATATAAAGCAGCACGCGATGTTAAACTCATTAAAGAAAAGAGTTACATTTTGTTGTATTATTTCTTTGTATTCATCCTAATGAAAATTACATTTTTGGTTTCAGGTAGACCACTTTTTCCCCCTGAAAACTCACCTTACTCGTTTAGCTATTGACTAAAACGCTAATTTAAATTGTATTTAAAACTAGAATACAGAAGTTAATGCAGATCTACCACGTTATTCATAATATATGGCGAGCAAATTCGAAAACATCAGTTCTTTGTTTTTCTTGATGCCTGGCCTAGGTTGTCAGCCTGTATGTTAACGGCAAGCTGCCTGTCACACGACTCCAGGTGGATCATGTTCAGAACTTGTGCCCATGGGAAAACGAGGGTAAATCGATCCTCAGGTTTCCGTTTTGATAAAATGTCCTTGTCACTTTATTTTTTAGCTTCAGGTTGCTCTCTACCAGTCCTTGTAGAGACAGTATGTTACACAGGTACGAAGTGGCCCAAAAGTCTTCATTTATCAACACAAATCATATGGTTTGAGTTAACAAAAAATAAAAACAAATCGATATGTACTCTGAAGCTGTGGCTCATTTTCTCAGAGAAAAATTGTAACAACTAGCACAGAAACAAACAAACAGCCCTCCCCCCCCCCCGAAAACAAAACAAAGCAAAACAAGTGAAAACAACACCCCCCCCCCCCCTCCTTAAAAAAGTGAAGAAGAATCCAGATCTTAAAACTACCTTTGCCAACAAGTCAAAACAACACCACTCCCCCCCCCCTTTCCTTAAAAAAGTGAAGAAGAATCCAGATCTTAAAACTACCTTTGCCAGGGATATAACTTTGTCCTTTAGACTGTGAGTCACTGCACCTCATGATTGAAAGTGAACCAACACAAAATCGACTTTATTCCAACTATTTTATTACATGTGACGCAATTACGGTTAACCAGAGGGAGGGGAGGGGGGTGGGGGGTGGAAGGAAGGGGGACAACTAGTCTTTTTAGACAAAGGGGTACATTAGAGCATAATTTAAGAATACACTTTGGCAATAATGTTTTTCTCTTTAGTGGGAAAGTGAGCATTTTCGAACTAGAATGACATTTCCCTACTTGTTTCCTATTACCTTTGATCTAAATTTTCTGAAACAGTATTGTGTGAGGAAAAGTGAACATGCACCAACATATATCTCGATGTCTAAAAGGACAGTCTTTTAAAACAATCAACTCAGCAGTAAAGAATGGTTTGGGCAAAACTATATTTGCCGTACATACCACTTGGAGCCAGACATTGGTCTTCATGACTTGATTCACCTCATCCTGAGAAACATACACAGATAAATAGCTTTCAGAATTGTAATTTTTGTGTCAAATACGACTACAATAATATGTTTGCAATTTGGATAAGTATAAAGTCAGTTGCATAAGATAGGCCAACAAAGAAATCGATATGCCCAAAACTTACAGACCTCGAGACGTTCGTAATAAAATGCTGGATTTATAACCCCAGACACTCCGTACATATCTTAGGACTCCTTTAATAAAGACAACATTGGCGTAAGAGAACATGGAAGAAGCATTAGCTAAAAAGATGTCACTCTTGAATTTAATGATTTACCACTTATAAGGACAGTATGAAGGGAAGACGAAAAAATTCCAACAAAATATTACGTTGGGAAAAAGGCGTCTGCAATTCACTGAAAGGTCGTTGTCCGAGGGGGGAGATAATGTTGACAGATTCTAGAATATTCTCTTTTGGAACGTCAAAATAATCACCATAATGAAAAGCGTAACATTGTTTCGGATACGTCAATAAGAGTGCTTGGTAGAGATATTCTGAACGCAGACGATTGTGCCAAACAAAAGATGCATGCACGATCAATGCTCTTGGATTGACTATTGGGTATTCCAATAAATTCTGCATCAAAATGTCTGTTCCCCAGACAAAGAGCTATGTTAATGCAAATAGCCAGCTATTTTTTCAGTAGAGACAGGATAAAAACATGAGTTCAATGGCCACAATACACGAGCAGTATACATTTTGTACTAATTCTTTTCAGTCGAATGTTTGCACACTATAACTTTTACTTAGCGTTAACGTAGAAAATATGCTGCAAGTATCCCCCTGACGCTAAGGTTAAGGCAGAATTATTTAAAATCATGTGTTTATAACATGAGTGCAAGTAAACAAACCTGAGCAAAATATTTTCCCATGCAAATATTGCCAACATTTCAGATCTGTAATAAAAATGGTGACAAAAACGTCTAATTTGGCGAGCTGTGACATTTTTACTTATTTTTTGTTCGCCTATTTATTCCCAACGACGTTAATGTTCAGAATATTATTATGGTCAATTTTGAGCCTGTCTGTCCAGTGCGTCACCTACCACAGTGATGATCTGACTGAGAGCTAGGGCGAATCGGATGCCGAGGGACTCGTTCGTGTTTCTCACAGGCCTGATCAGAGGGTTGTAGCTGTCTTTATCAAACAAGTCGAAGACCAAACGTCGCTCGTTTTCACCTGAAAATATATCATAATCGTTATCGTACCTTGCAAATAATTTGAAAATAAAATTCTACATATTTTTATTGTACATGTATTTAGAAATGTTCTTTTTGAAAGTCGCTTTTCTAGAAAGGCGATACCAAGTCTAGAAATGTACTCTCCACGAAATAATGTTTCCATGAGATTGGAGTAGTGTGGTTGTAAAAAAAAATCTCTTTTTTATGGAATGCATATTTAACTTCAAATTTGTTATCCACGTCAAAAATATCATGAATTTGACACTAAACACCACGCTAGTTACTATTGATTAACAGTTTTGCATGAAATTGGCATCTCCATCCTGTACCAATTGCGCAAACTAACCAGACAATGCCCATATTCCCTGGCGTAACTGTTGCGTGTGTGCAACAAAATATCCCCAAGCCAAGGCTCGGGGCAAGGAGCGATGATTGGCTTGCGTCCAAAATCTGTTGGTGTGTATGGAGTAAATAAACAATCACCAAATGAGAAACCAATTTAACGAGTCCGACTTCCAGACAAACGTAAACGCACACACACACACAGACA